TGGTAATGAGGATCCAAATCCCCTGAGACCCATACTGTGGATGGACGAATCCTGCACCACCTAAGAAACCCGGTTTCTGATGATTCCCATGTAAAATGCCAACCAACAATGGTTTCCCATAGTGTCTTGGGTGGTGCAGGATTTTGTCCATCCACAGTATGAAGATGCTGCGCCTATGTTTTCACTCCCTCGGGACCTTCGTCGCCTTTGCTTTTGCTTCGGAGGCGGGGAAGGCGCTGCTCTGGGCGCGCCTGGTGCGGCGCGAGAACGACCGCGAGAGGCTGGGGCCTGGGGTGGGGGGCCGCAGTTTTTTTTTTTTTTTTTTTTTTTTTTTTTTTTTTCCGGGGTCTGTTCCGGGGGGTTGACGTGTGAGGGCGGGGGGGGGGGGGTTTTCCTGAGTTCTGAGTTTCTCTTGAAGTTTTTCGTTTTTTTTTGGTGGTCGTTTTTCTTGAGGTTTTTTGTTTTGCGTGTGAGGTCTGAGTTCGAAAGGTCTCCTTTCGATGGGTCTCCCTTGTTTGGTAGTTTTACAGGAAGCCGAGAGGAACATCACATTTTTTGTTTGGGGGTCCAGCCTTACAAAAGGCAGACCCTAGTGAAGTTGGAGAACTTTAGCTGGTTTTGGGTTGGAATCTGCAATGAGGAAGTGGTGATCTATTTTTGGGAGGCTACCCTTTTTGGGGTTGGCTTAAAGTAAACTTTAGGGGGAAGCGCCTATTTCATTTGGGTCCGTCTTGTTTTGGAAAGTTGCCGTTTTGGGGCTTGCGTTGGAAACCAAAGGGAAACGGCAAACTTTAGGGGCTCGCCTATTTTGAGACAAACCCATTTGAGACCTCCTGCCATCTACCACCATGCGTCCTCAGGCACTTGGCTTTGGCAGAACGAATCGGTGCTGGGTCCACCAAACCCAGAAATGGGATTGAATTGCCATACTTCAAACGACAAAATCAGACATTGTTCTTCGGGGAGGTCCGGGACCTCCCAATGGTACGGACTCAAATCAGGCCTTACCAAGGCTTACCAAGGCCTTGGTCTATGGGAAATGGGTTCAGACGAAACAGCCAACCCACATGGTTGCAGCTTCCCCTTCTTCCTTCAACTGGAGCCCCAAAGACGGGCAAAGGCACACGCATACACACACGCGTGGGCGCTTTGGTTTCCAGGCTTCCTTTGACGCCCCGAATCCTTAGCTTTCCTTGCGATCTCCCCAGGTGGTCTTGGTCCTGGGAGCCCCGAACAACCCTTCTGGGACAGTGTCCGAATCAACATGGGGCCCAACAAGCTGAGTCTGAAGGAATCTCCTTTTGGGGGAAAGCTGCATGGAACCCACTTGTTTCGTCTGAGATCCGTTTGGGGACCCGGTCCCTTGAAAAGGAAGAAGGTCCAAAACCAGGACCCTCCCCCCCTCCCCCCCGAATTCGTCGAAAAGTTCCATGCAATTGGTGGGCTCCCTTCAACCCAAATGGCCACGGGGCAGAACCTATGGCTCCATCCATTTGCCAGGGTTTAGACCCACAGCCAAATTTCCTGAACCGCGGCCGCACGGAACGCGGCCGCACGGATCGCGGCCATGTCGCCGGCCATGGTCGGTTCGTCGGTTCGTCGATGAGGCGGTGGCTGGAGATGACCACCACGGAGAAGAGCCGCTTCCCCCACTGCTCCGCCGGGCTGGGGCCAACCCCAGAGATCCGGGGCTCCCGAGGCGAGGTGGTTGGTAGTGGTGGGGGGATGGGGGGGGGTGGGGGGGGTGAAGGGGGGGGTGGTGAGTTGGTTAAAAGGGAAGCCGACACCTGAGATTGAATGCCATCCCTTGTGAAGAATACTACGGTGGGGGAGGGTGTTTGAGGGGGTCATATTTGTCCGCACGTTCATGTTTGGGTGGTCTAATTGACAAGATATGGCTATGATTTTTCGTGGTTGGAACACCTGAAAAGCGATGGATGGTGTTCATGATGCGGATCCAAAGGAAGAAAACACCCACTAAAAGGGCGCCTCCCCCCCCCCCCAAATCAACATCAACTAGGGGTTCTGCTTAGATCCTGGGTTGAGATGTCTTGCTGGTGCTCAGGGAATGACCCTTCCGGGTGTCGGGAATGAACCCTGGCATTCCCTTACCTCCATTTGCTTTTTAATATATTTTTCTCCTTGGTTGGTTTTGAAAGGACTTCATCACTACTGGAAACGATTCTTTTCCTGGGGCCTTAGCCAAATGGAATCTTCAAGGATGCCAAGTCGGGAGAGTTCCCTTCGGAACTGGCCCACTGGCCCACTGGGCCGCGGCCAGGCGAGCGCTTCGGGACTCTGCGGCGCTCTGGCCACGGCTGGCGCTTGGACAAGGAGGGGCTGCAGAGGTCATTTCGGTGGCTAGGTCGCCCAGTGCCCTTGTCTCCCCAATTTTTGGGGGGAGGGTTCCCCCCGAACATAGACTGCAGAAAAATAATCGGGTGGCCTTATTCTAACCTCTCTACTGGAGGGCCCAGTTGGGCATCGCTTGGACAGCGGGCCAAGAGTCTCCAGACCAACCGACCCGTGTTCCAGTGGGAAAAGTGCTCTACTGCTGTTGGGTTGGATCTTTAGACTTTATCTTTTTGGATACCCCTCATATTTCCTTGTGACCTGCAAAAAGTTAAACCTTTTGCTGGGGGATCTACAGCACCCGAGAATGGTTGGCAATGCCAAAAGGAGAAGACGAGCGATTCAGCCCATGATCAGTCCCAGGTTGGTGAATTATAGTGGGTACTGGTGTGGCTTTGGAAAATGGGCCGGGGGCGGGTCGTGGGGCGGGGCCTCCACTTCGTGTGACATCCCTGGGATCTTCTTTAAGGAAATAGTGATCAAGTAGTCATGAGAATCCGCCGCTGTCGGTAAGGATTGAGCTGAACGCCTGGTCGTTTTTTTTTTTTTTTTTTAAATCAGGGCTGGGTTTATTAATCCGGGGTTCCCATTACTGCTGGCCACGGAATAATTTTGTGCATCCTCATAGACAAAGGGTGTGTTCTCTCCAAAACTCCAAAAGTAATGAATCCCCACTGCTGTCATGTATTTGTGTAAGGATTGTTTCAACTGGTTAAAATAAATTGATCAGAATGCAGATTAGTGTAAAACATAGTTTCAGCACTTTAGTCAATGTCACCGCCCAGCGTGCCCGCGGAGTTGCAGGAGAGCCACCCACTGAGCATCGCGCCAGCGGAGGGCGGCGTCTCCGTGGTGGCAGAGGGCCAGACCGTGGCCTCCGCGAGGCGACTCCGCGACGCTCAAAACGCGCGACAGCGCCCGCGGACGCGGGCGTTTTGGTTGGGTCTGTGGTGGCTCTTGGCCGTTTTGGTGAGTCGGTCTCTTGTGTTTTAAGCAATTTTCTTGGGCGCTTTTGGGTAAAGGGGCCTGCCTGGAAGAGTGTAGTCCAACACTTGTTTGCTTTGGTAAAAGCATCACCTGCCGTATGAAAACAGGAGAAGTAGGTGTGTGGTGCCCAAGAACCGATGAAACTCAGTCATTCTCCAATGTTTTGCAGGGCAACTGCATATTTTGACCGTGGCTCTCATGATGTTTTTTTTGTTGGCTCTTCATGTTGGTGGGGCACGGGCAACCTCCGTCTCATTCCAACCCCTGATTAGGGTCCTTGAATAGTTTCAACCGACTTTCCACTTTGCTTTCCCCCCAGTCCGCCGCCCATGTCGTGACGTGTCTTCCGGCCTTCCTAGGACATGCCCCCTACCCAAAGTCCTAGGTTCAGGTTTGACCAAGATGTCTGAGAACCGTTCAGACAACGGCTAAAGCAAAGGAAACAAACACGGGCGCCAGACCTCCAGACCAGACCTCCAGACCTCCGCCAGACCGCCAGACCGCCAGGCAAGAGGGGGACGCGCTGGCGGTGCAAGTGAGCGCAGGAAGGGACCCCTTGTTGATGTTGCTGTGCATCGTCAGCGTGCTGCTCATGGAGCCGGGAGGCGCTTAGCTGCCACGTGTTTTGAGACTTGGGATGTTCAACCCGCGTCACTATTTTCCAAGGGTTTTGGCCATTACACCCCTGGGATTACGCCCTAGGGACATGACCTAAAATAGTCCAGAATAAACCAACATAAGCAGGTTATATTTGGACATAGGTTAGAATAGGCCCCAGAGGGCGTAAGGGGTTAATCCCTTGAATGGCGAAATCACCCACTACTACTACTAGCCTGACGTGGTGTGAACACTCAAGAGGTAGACCCGGCCGGAGAGGAAAAACTGCGCGCGAAAATGATCTCGACGGAGTGTGTGATCGCAAGCCACAGTGGCGGGGCCGCTCAACGCCAAGAGTTTCTCTTCAAGCCACTGAGTTCAATTTTCATGGGGCAAAAAGAACAAGAAGAAGCCAGCCAACTGGATGGGACCCGTCGCTGATTCCAGAAGTACTCAAATGCATCTTGACAGACCTTGACACTTTTCTCCAGTCTTCATCGCCCACAAATTGGAAAAGGGGGAGGGTTTGTTAGGGGCCCGCTGGGGGAATTTCAATCCACGACTGATAACCACTCAGCTCCAAATGTTTTCCAACATCTTTCAGGCATGGCTACCCAGGTGACCTTTGTGTTCCGTTTTTCCCCACCCCCCCCCCCTTTTTTTTTCTTTTCTTCTTTTTTTTCTTTCTCTTCTTTGCCTTCTTAGCCGATGGTTGCCACTGCCTTGTGAGGGGGTTCATGGGGTATACAACCACTGTAAAGCCACCATTTTGTTTCAGAACCCACGAGCTTCTGCTTGGAGATGGGAAGAATCATAGAACCTGTACCTGTATGCGGTGGGTTTGGGAAGACGATTCTTTTAGGCTGTGGCCTCGGCTCTTACAGGGTGGGGGTGGGGGTGGGGGTGGGGGCCATTTTCCTCTCAAGGGAACCTCCAAGAGTGGCGATCGTTTCAAGGGAAAACCTCTTCGGTAAATTGATCAGCTTCCGGAGGCAAATCCCGGGCAAATCCAAAGAATTGGACACCTCTGGAAAGCATCTCATCTTGGAACGCATCCCTCCGAGGTCACGGCGGGCTCGGGGCCGGGGGCCTTCCACCTGGTGCAGGTGCGGCCCATGAAAGGCGCGGCTTTCGCGCGGCATGCGGCGCGCTTGGCGCTTGACGCGCTTGGCGCTATAAAAAAAAAGCGGGGCTGATGGCTTATTTGGGTGTGGCTCAAAATGAACCAGGAGGGGTTACGCAGGTCTTGGTTCAGGTTTCCACTTGGGGTTTCATTTTGGTACCGGTTTTTTGAGCCACAGCTTTATGGGCTGCAGATGCACACGGTTCCGCCAGGAGGCGTAGTAATGGCACCGCCCACCATAAATGGGTGCCGGTGGAAGAAAGTATTTTTTCATGATTCTGGGTAGACCAGTGAAATACCGGGTGTTGATTTTGACTTGGTGGTGATTTGAATCCAGGCAACTTTGGGGTGGGCACCTCAAAATGCGGTCCTTTGGTTGCAATGGTTTGGGAGGCTGAACTGAGCTCATCGTTGTTGATGTCCTCCTTTTCCCAGTGTGGTTTGTCTTTTTCGGGATTCTTGGTATCTCATGTTTGGTGCTTTGAACGGAAAGGAAAATGGAGAACCAGCTTCGATGGGGTCCCCTACAAAACATGACTCCCCCAATTTTTTTTGGCAACTGTTCAACTGGAACATGGGGGCTGAAAAAAAAGACAAGTTGGATTGGTTGGCTCCGAGCCCCGGCCGCCGAACCGCACGGACGAACGGCGGCCTCCGCTTTTGATGGCTGGGCGGCGCAGGCTCCGGCATCGGCGGGGATCTCATGTGGAAGGACGGGGTGTGGAACCACGACCAGGTGCACATGACCGGCATCATGCCCGGGAGCCCCAGGTCGGCGAAAGTCCGAAAGGCGAAGCCGAGGTCGTCTCGGAGAATTGGTTCAACCTGAGTCCTTTGAGGTTGGCTGAGTATAGGTTTGTTTAGCAGGGGAGCCCCACTGGTGGTTTCCCTGGTCATTAAACGAGCCAGTTCCAGGACGAAGTGGTTGCAACTCAAGGCGAGCCACATGGACCATCTGAAAAGACGACTTTGGTGTACCCAGTTGAAGGGTTCAGACCGCTGACTGAAAGAGAAAAAAAAACCAGCTGCCCCGTTGCAGACTCCGGGGGATGGGGTTTCACGTGGGGAAGGTGAGTGGGTTTGTGCGGCTTTTCAGGGACCGGCTGGGCTTTGTACCTCGGCTTTCCGCCCCAGGGTTTGGATTAAGTTGGATTTGGATTGGAACTCCAGGGTTGTGGGATCACAAGGGGTTTCTCCTTCCCACTTCTGTGATACTTTTGGGAATCCCCCTTTATATGAACAAGGTAGTCTTTGGGAAGCCCTTTTTGTGGTATCATAGAAGTGGTCATTCCCCACAGCCCTGATTTGATGCCTTGGTTCTGTTGGAGGGTTATGGCCAGCCACCTTGCCAAACCAATCCAAACCAACGAGAGGGAGGCTGACTTGTTTCCACACACTCCGAAAAGGGCATCCTGGAAAAGACGCACCCATAGAAAATGTTGGACCCCCTGTTTGGTGGATATTTGAAGGGAGACCCAAGAGAAACTAACCAGTTTGAGAACCCCCTATATTTGGCCAAGGTTCCAAAAGGATGACCTTTGAACTGCAACATCTGAGGTTAGTCCCCTTTTTTCCAGTCCCCTTCTTTCCATGGCGAGATCTAAGTTCTAAGATGGTTTCCACCCCCGCCCTTCCCAAACCGGAGCTACTCAGAGGGTTGAATTTGACTTTGAGCTTTGGGGGACTGGGGGGTGGAGATTCTTTGGAACTGGAGGCATGCGCCTGGATGTTTCAGCAGGTTACAAGGGTGTTTGTAGATGGGCAACTGGGCCAAGTCATAGCAACATCGTAGAATCACCTGCAGAAATGACTTGAGCCGTTTGGGCGCGAAGTCACCTTTTCACGTGGACACATTTACCAGGCTTGAAGAAAGCCTTCTGGGCTTCCATTTGCTGAAAGGACCAAACATTTTCTTTATTTCCCCTGGCTTGTAAAGGGACCTTTTTTTACTGCGCATGTTTTGTTTCTTTATGGAAGTGGTTTTGGGGTGGGGCGGGCAAGCGGACCCGAGACCCGGCGGACCCGGCGAAACTTGGCCGAGACCCGAGACCCGTGCACCGGTGCGAAGGTACGAGGTCCACGGGGACGCGCTGCAGTGCTCCTTCCTGGACGCCTCGTGGTCCCCAGCGCCTCGGCTGCGACGGCTGCGCGCTGCGACATGAAATGAACGCCTCGAGGGTCGGGCAGGGCGAAGGATGCTTCGGGGGAAAGCTGTTT